CAAGCAGGCAGTCATGAGTTCAATCCCCAGTACCGATAAAAAGGAAAAAGACAAAAAAAAAAGATCAGACTTGGGAGGTCTTTCCTGGGAAGGAGGACTGCTTCGGCCATTGGATTCTGGACAATGTTTTATACCTTGGCAGAAGAATTGTCTGCATTTTGTTCATGTCCAGAGACTTTGCCTGAGACTAAGATTAAGGGCAACAGACTAATTAATCTTGCAGAAGAAATTTCAAGGCAGCCTAATGTTGAGGCAGTGTCTTAGTTACTTTCCTCTCATTGCTGAGACAAAATATCTAACACCCAAAGGTAAAGGAGGAAAGGTTTATTTAGCTCATAGTTTGTAGAGCTTTCAGTTCATAACTGGCTTGCTCTAAGGCAGGTAGCACATGGTAGAGAGGCAACCGTGCATGGTGGCAGAAAACAGCAAAAGGAACAAGAGAATAGAAAGGGAAGGAGAAAGGGAGGGAGAGGGAGAGAGACAGATAGAAACAGAAGGTCAAGCCTCTCTGAGTTCTTTATATTATATGCAGGCTACCCAATCTAGGACAGGTGTAGTACTGACACTCTTAATCCTAATATTGGACCATGAATCAATCACAAACTCTAGAAGCCTGCCCCCATGACTGCATAAGGATTTGGTGGTGGGGGGAACATCTAGATACAAACCAAGCAGACAGTGGCATGGCTACTATTGGGGGTTTTTAGCTAGATTTGTGTTGAGAATCAAGAGCAAAAGAGCCCAACAGGCTGATGTAAAACATTGCAAGTTTGGCCAGAAAGGAAATTTTGATAAATATGTGGACTACAAAGATAGAGCAGAGGAGAACTTGATTGCTGAGAAAGAACAGAATAGAAAAGATAGCATCATAAGAAGCAGCAGGACTCCACTATTCACAGTCTCAAAATTGCAAAAGTAAAGCCTTTGTTTTAAGAAGAAAGCCCCGAACACCACATTCTAGAATGGTAGTGGCCTAGGGAACTTGTTCTTTGGGATTCAGTTCATAGGCATTTGACCCCGTTAGCCAAGAGACAGAGAAGCCTGGCCACTGCTCTAAGTGGCAGCAGACCTCAGCATCATCCATGTGGCACTGATTTTAGGTGCATAAAAATGCAAGAGTTGTCAGGTCAGGAAGGCTTCCACCCAGATTTCAGAAGGCGGCCTAGGATGCCAGGTAGTGTGTCTTTGAAAAACCAGTGCATGAATCTGAGTGAGTGTGAAACTGAAGGTGCAGTGGAAACCCCAGAAGTGTGGAGAAGCCAGTAATGTGGATCATCTGAGGAAAGCTGCAAGGAAGTTGCTGAGAAGGACCAAGAGAGAATCCATGGGAGCTGTAACTACAGACAGTGAGTGCCACAGGGCAGAACCACTCAAGCCCTCTGAAGTTCACAATGTGCTACACAGATCGTTGGGGATGCTAAACATAGAACTATATGACTTAAATGTTTTCCCTGCTGGAATTTGGACTTGTTTTGATCCCGTTGCTTTGCATCTCACTGTTGGCAGCTTTTGGAATGGAAATGTCTGTCTGGGACCATTGCATATTGAAAGTGTTTAACTTTTTCATTTGTACAAGAACTTGCAGCTACGAGTTTGCCTTAAATCTCAGAGAAGACTTTGGACTTGGGCTTTCAGCAATGCTTAAACTGTTAGGAATTTGACAGCTCTTCGGGATTAAATGGTTTTTTTTTTTTTTTTTTTTTTTTTGCATTAAAGAGATATGCGTGAGTTCTTGGGGAGCCAGGAGCCGAATGTTATGGCTTGTGTCTAGATGTCCCCCCAAAGCCTCATGTGGTCATGAGTGGAGCTTTTTCAGAGGTGGCTGAATCTAGCGCGTGTGATGCTAGAATTGATTCATAGTGCAATAGTAGGCTTAAGGCTGCTAGGATTAAGAGTTTGAGTAGTCTGAAAAAGATAAAATGAGCAGAAAGATGCCATTAAGGACCCTTGTTGCTTTGCCTATCATGAATGTTTCTGCTCTGTGTTGTCTGTCTGCTGCACCACCTTGCTTTGGAGCCAGCCTATTATGGACTGAAACCTATACAAACTGTGAGCCAAATAAATCTTTCCTCTATAATTTTGAATGTCAGGTATTTTACTCAGTAATGAGAAAAGTAACTGTCCTTACACTAAACCCAAACTATACCAGCTTCTGTTTCTTGACCGTGCCAAGCTCTGTTCCACCTCAAAGCCTTTCCCTTCCCCTCTACCCAGAACATTCTTAGTTAAGTCACATGGATCAATTCTTCTTGACCTTCAGATATTGGCACCTACTCAGCAAATTTTTTCCCTAACCTTCCTAAGTGACTCCTCCTCCCTTCTCCCCTCTCCTGACATGTTCTTATGCTTGCAGCACGTCTTTTCATTCACAGTCCTTGCTTTTTTGCTACTAGATCATTGGCTTCACAAGGCTTTCGATCATTGTTTTGATCGTTTTCGTCTTGATTTTTGTTTGTTTGTTTTGTATTGAGGATTGAATTTAAAGCCTTCTCATAACCCTGTTTTTTGTTTTTATTTTTTTAAGACAGGGTCTCAAATGCTAATTTCCCAGGCTGACCTCAAGCTCATGAGTCTCCTACTTCAGCCTCCCTGATTATAGATTATAATCAGGGGATTATAGATATGTGCCATTGCACTGGCCTCATGGCCATTTTACACACCAGTGTGGCCTCCAGTGTCTAAGCCAGAGCCTCATATATGGTACCTACTCAGTAAAGGTTTACTGAATGAATGAACAAGTTAGCCTTGTAGTAGATGAAAGCAATACAGAATGGACCCCGTCAGCACTGTCAAGGCATACAACGAATGCCAGTCAGATGAAGTGCAGCAGGTAACTATATGGATGTATATATACAGTGGAGATAAGAACTGGAGGCAGCAGTAGCATAGAGAGGCTTGAACTCCACTGCAGAGTATGTAGAGTAAGAAGGGAGGCTGCACCAGCATCTCCCTCGAAAAAATGTAATTTCTTCTTCTAACTTTTATTAGTGTGCCAAATTCAGTGTACTGTTTCTTGTTTTGAAACAGTGTCTTGCCACGTTCCGTTTCCCAGACTTGCCTCCCAACTTGCCATTCTCCTGACTCAGCCTCCCTTGTAGTTGGATTACAGGATGTGCCACTATGCCTAGCTTTGGGTTTTATTTTTTTAAAGACAGTAGGAAAATCTACTGGGCAACAGGAATGGAGAATAGGATTGGGGAACAGGAATAGCTCATGAGAGGCTGGAGGGGTCATGAATGGGTTATCCTGTTTTGTTTTAATGTTCCCAAATTTATACAGCTTCTAAGTAATAGCGCTAGGACTTAAAATCAGGCAGAAATTTCCCACTACTCTCCAAGTACTGTTTTTTTTTGTTTTGTTTTGTTTTGTTTTTTGTCTTTTTCATTTTTATCAGTACCAGGGATCGAACTTACAACTGCTTACTTGCAAGGCAGGCGCTTATGCCGCTGAGCTAAATCCCCAGCCCCCAAGTACTGTTTTTTTTATCTCATGATCTGTCTGCAACCCCTGTACAATTACAGAACTCTACAACTGGGGAAAACGACCTGAGTTCAGTTTTGACCCAAGGTCACATCAACTACAGATGCGCAACAGTGTTTTTGAATCTTCTTTCCTATTTATTTATTTAGGTTTTTTTGAGACAGTGTCTCACTATATAATTTTGGCTGGACTTAGCTACTTGGTAGCCCAGGCTGACCTAGAACTCGAAACGACCCTCTGGCTGCTGCAGTCTCTCAAGGGCTGGGATTACAAATGTGCGCCACCACAACCTAGCTCTTGAATCTACTTTTCTGACTCCAGTGCCTAGGCATTTAATTAATATGTATCTTTTGGGGAACTCGCAAAGAGGGAGCTGGATTGGGTTTCAAAGACTACATTGTGTGCAGGCAGGAAACTTGAATCTGTAAAGTGTGCTCTCAACTGTGAAAACACACGTTGCTATAAAACTGCAATTGGTACTGTACCGGCCAGGGTAGTAGTGCACGGCTGTAATTCCAGTACTCGGGAAGGCTGAGACAGGAGTATCTCTGAGAGTTTGAGGCCAGCCTGGATTACATAGTGAACTCAAGATCATCTTGAATTACACAGGGAAACCCTGTCTTAAAAAAAAAAAAAAAATACTGTACAGGCAGGTGACAGGCAGAGCCAAAAGTAATCTAAGCCCTAGGGCAGTTACAGGGCAGGAACTAGAAAGGTCAGCACAGTAGTAAGCGTTGCCAACATCTTAAAAACAAGTCTATTATTCCTTGGCTAGCCCCTATAAGTGGCAGGCTGGGAGCCCAAAAGAGGCAGAAGTGCCAGGAGGGCACAGCTTGCTTTCCTGAGTCAGGCCCTGCCAGGAAACCCCAGGTGGTTTCCTCCCTGAGAAGCCGGGTAGTGGGAATAACACGGAAAAAAAGAGGAACAAATGTAGGCCAACTGCACCCCACTCTGAGCGGGCCTCCAGGAGGCGGGACTCAATGACAAGAGAGGTTTCTCCTTTGGGGCCGGTCTCAGGCACCCCTCTGAGTTGTCCTCAGTTCTTGTTCTCCTTTGAGTGCGAGGGCTGAATGGGCCGCTCTGGCTCCGATGAAGGAGAGTTTCTTTAGCATGGTCTTCATCTTCAGGGATCTCCGTGGTTGCAGAATTCTAACACTCCTCCTTCCCGGGATCAAGCTCCTCGAACTCCCGTAAAGCAGCTCCATGGAAACCGAAATATCACAACTCCACTAAACTATCGCGAGAAGCGAGATCGCGCCCGTAGCCCAGGCAGGGCGGAGCAAGGAGGGAACGCGTAGCGAGGTGGGCGGAACCGGAGCGCTTCCGAGGTTTGGGTCCGACTCTGTCTTGCTCCAGGCGGCACCCCCGCGTGACTGCGCTTTACATAATCACCGCCTCGTGCGTCAGAGTGGCGTATTCGAGCCCAGTCCGAATCAGAGTAATCACAAATTCCGTGTTCCTCCCCTTTTCGTTTGATGGACATGAGAGTAAGCCAGTGAACGGGCTAACCTCCATGGTTCTCCCTCCACGGTTCTCCCGGGCCCGCCCGCGCCTGTCTGCGCCCGCCCAGGCCCTCCCGCACCCCGCTGCCTGCAGCCACCTCCGGGTTGTCTTTTAGACTGTCAGAAAAAGCGGCAGGCCGGGCCGGCGGGGCGGTGAGCACGGCCCGGGCCAGACATGGCGGCGCTCTACGCCTGCACTAAGTGCCACCAGCGCTTCCCCTTCGAGGCGCTGTCTCAGGGGCAGCAGCTGTGCAAGGTGCGCGGGCTGGGGCGGCGGCCGGGTATCGGGGACGCAGGAGGCGCGGCCCGGGACTCCGGGTTCTGCAGGGACGCTCGGCCAGGGTCCCTTGGACTGGGTGTGGCCGGCATGCGTAGCCGAAGAGCCGCACCCGACCTACTGGGTGCCGGCGGGACGCGCGGGGAGTCTCTGGCCGAATCCAGGTCCCCGCGGCCGGCGTGCCCGGGTGCTTAGCAACCGCGGGGGCTTGTTCTCGGACAGGTGAAATCGGGGGAGGAAACAGCGGGTCCCTGCATGCCCCTGAACAGGAGCATCGAGGATCCGTTTGGGCTGCCTTCCTTGCCGCCACGGTCCCCCGAGTTGCAGACTAAGGGACCCCTTGTGCTGCCTGGGGTTAAACTCGCAGTGTTTTGAGCTCCGACGCCTCACCGGCACTTTTCGGCCAATCTCACAATCTGAGGTGGCAAGGCTTTATTAAAAATTTTTTAAAAACCCTCCCAGCCAAGAACACAAATCTGAAGGATGACTTTTTAGCATCCAGTTGCTGTACTTAAGTCTTTTCTCTAACCAAGTTTTTACTCCTGAAGTTCGGATTTCTTTTTCACTTTAAGTTCTCTCAGCCCACTTTGCCTGTTTAAGTGAATGGAGTTGGCGTAAGATGGAAATTAAAAGTCAGCTAGCCCGCCTGAAGTGATATTGAGATAACCGTCAGATAATCCAGTTTGCCTCTGATCTTAATATGTTACTGTGTCTCAAGTGAACATAACTTTTATTTTTTTACCAGGCCTGAGAGGACACACTTTTTTTTTTTTTTTTTTAGCACTCTTGTTTACCAGGTCTTAGAGGATGCAAGTGCTTAAGTATGCTTTTTGGCCTTAAAAAAAAAAAAAAAATCTAGCACTTACACATTTCACAAATAAACTTGCTCAAGAGCATACCATCAGAGCCAGAACTAGAATCTGATTTCCAGTCTGGGGTTTATTCCTACCTTTGTTTTACAATTTATGACTAGCTCCATATAAATTCTTATTTAACTCCCACATCAACAGCAGGGCAGTGATGCAGATATTCAGAGGAGGAAAACAAGTTCCAGAAAGTTAGTGACTCACTCAAGAATAGTGACTGTGCTAGGGATAGTACCCAGGTATTCTTCCTATTGATGACTGTTTCCATTTTTGAGAGCCTTTGCCTTTTAAAACAATACCCTCATTTCATTTCAGGAATGTCGGATTGCACACCCTGTTGTGAAGTGCACCTACTGCAGGACTGAGTACCAGCAGGAGAGGTAGAGTTTTGGTTGACTATGGTCTTAAAATCTGTGATTATGTTGCACTAAAAGATCTGTAACCAATTGCACTGTAACATACAGGTCTGTAGTCAGTTACTTTATACACAGATTTTGCAGTTTCTTGTTACATGGAACAGCATATAGTACACATTTCCTGAATATTACCCATTGATTGTTTAAATTTATTTTTTCCAGTACTGAGGATTGACTTGGCCTCCGCCATTGAGCTATATTCCCAGCCCATTTGTTTTGTAGTACTGGGGATCAACCGTAGAATGCTCATACTGAGCTACATTCTCAGTTCTTTTTTATTTTGGGACAAAGTCTTTCTAATTGTCCCTGGTAGGCCTCGAAGTTGTGATTCACCTGCCGCAGGCTTCTAGAATGTAGGCATTGCAAACACACACTACCAGACCCATCAGCCAGCCTTTTTATTTTTGAGACAGTTTCTCTTAAATTGCCCAGGCTGGTCTTTTAACTTGCAGTCATCCTGCCTTAGTCTCCTGAGTAGCTGAAATTACAGATGTTGCCACCTTGCTCAGTTTGAATGTTTACTGGTCAGACGTTTTTGCTTCTTAGCATTGGGAATTGAACCCAGTGACTGGTGCGTACTAAGCACACACTGTACCGCTAAGCTACATACTCCAGCCCCTGATTGCTTACAATTTTAAAGCTACAAATATTTCAGGTCCTTGAATATTTCATATTGTAGATATGATTTTTTTGGCCCTGAAAAACCAATCCACACAACAGTAAAACCTGGACCTCATGCTCCAGTATTGATATGTACAGATCTTGAAGAAACCATAATGTCAAAGAAATATGACAATCCTAAAAGGTTTATTAGCTCTCGTCACATTCAAAATTTACTTGCTTTTACATTTTCCTTGTGTGAATCTTTTTTTTAAAACTATAAAGAACACTCAAGGGGCTGGGGATTTAGCTCAGCGGCATAAAGCACCTGCGGGCAGGCGATTGTGAGTTCAATCCCTGGTACTGATAAAAATGAAAAAGACCAAAAAAAAAAAATTGTATATGATCTTGGCTTCACCAGGGTGCTCACACTACTTCTAATTTTTTTTAATCTAATTTTTTTTTTTGTCTTTTTCCTTTTTATCGGTACCAGGGATCAAACTCATGACTGCCTGCTAACAAGGCAGCACTTATGCCGCTGAGCTAAATCCCCAGCCCCTTTTTTTTAAATCTAATTTTAATAGGCCCAAGTTCAATTCTAGGAATATTTTCTCCAACATTTTATTATGGATATTTTCTAAACAGCAACAAAAAAGGATGAATTAGTGAACACTCATATACCTCCTAAAGTCTTAAATATGAGCTCACTATATTTGTGTCTATCCATTTCCTTATCTTTCAGGTGCTGCTTTAATCCATCTTATTTCCAGTGCATTTTAAAATTGCAGACACCAGTGTACCTGATCCCTAAATACTTTAGCATGCATATTATTAACTGGAATTAAATATTTGTTCACAGTTCTTTAATTTAAAATTTTTAAGTACTTATTTATTTCTTTGTGGTGTCTGAACCCAGCGACTATGTATGTTAGGCAAACACTCTACTCTTGAGCTATACCCTCAACTTTCAGTTCATTCTTCATTTTAGTGTATGTATTTTTACCAGGGATTGAACTCACGACTGCAAGGCAGGCGCTTATGCTGCTAAGCTAAATCCCCAGCCCCTTCAGGCTGTTCTTGAACTCACAGTATAACACAGACTAGCCTCACACAGCAGTCTTCCTTCCTTTCAAGTGCTGGGATTGCAGGCATGCACCACTGTGCTGGGGTCTTTGGGGGTTTTTTTTTTGTTTTTTTTTTTTAGAGGCAATATTTGCATATAAACCAACACCATGGCACATACCTATTATCCCAGCACTCAGGTGGCTGATGGGGGAGAACTACCAGAAGTTGGAGGCCAACCTAAGCTACATAGTGCATAGTGAATTCAAGACCAGCCTGACCTACTTGGTGAGACACTATCCCCAACTCCAAACCCTATCAAAATACAGAATTTCACCATTGTCTGGAGCCCTCTCATCTTCCATCACCATCAGTCTCTATACTCCTTGCTTCCTTTAGGCAACCACTGTTCTGATTCTCATTTCTACCATTGACTAGTTTTGTCTGTTTTTGACCTTCATATAAATAGAATTATACAGAATATAATGAGAAACTTTGTGTTTTAGCTTTTTACATTTAGTCCTGTTATCCATCTTGAATTAATTTGTGGAGGAGTGTGAGATAGGGGCTTTGACTTCCTTTTTTTCTTTTTTTCTTTTTTCTCGCCTTTTTGAGACAGGGTCTTGCGTAGTTCAGCCTGCTCTTGAATTTGCTATGTAGCCCAAACTGCCCTTTAATCAGCCACCTGAGTGCTAGGGTTACAGGTGTGTACCACCACATCTGACCTGACTATTTTTTCAGTGGTACTGTAGATTGAACCCAGGACTTCATAAGTGTTAGGCAAGTGCTCTAGCACTGAGATACATTCTTAGCCCCTCTGCCCTTTTTTTGAGTCAGGGTCTCACTAAGTTGTCTAGGCTGGCCTCTTAATTTGCAGTCCTCCTGACTCAGCCTTTCAAGTTGGTAGGATTTTAGGTGTGTGCCACTGCTCCGGGAATGAGCTTTGGCTCTTAATTTACACTACACAAAAATTAAGATGTATCCTAGTGATTATTTTTCTTTGCGTGTTTTCTAAAATCTCAGGTGTATCTTAACATGCATTATTCCTTAAGTAACAAAGCCAGGTATAAATCTAAATACTGTTCATCATCACAGAGTAACTGATTCTAATACTTGTGCTAGAGATCTGTTTTCAGTGTACTTTTTTCTGTTTAATGCTAGAGATTGATCAGGGCCTTATGCATGCCAGGCAAATACCCATTCTACCACTGAGCTACATTCCACAGTGGGAATGTAGCTTTACATCTGACACCACATGTCACCAAGTCCATGAAATATTTTCTTTTTTTTTTTTTCATGAAATATTTTCTTTGAATATTTTATTTGTTTGTTTTGGTTTTTTAAGACAGTCTTGCTATGTAGTTCAGACTGACCTTGAATTCACTATGTTGCCCAGGCTGGCCTTGAACTTTATAATTCTCCCGCCTTAGCTCCTAAGTGCTGGGATTACAGGTGTATATCACCATGAGTAGTCCATGAATATTTTAACTTAAACATTTTTTCCTCTGAGGATTGTGTTTTGTCTTTAACCTTATGACTATCTTCATGGAAATCATATGGGAAAATAATCACAATTGACTAGATTGTTATATGACTTTATGTTTAATCCTAGAGTAATTTGAACATCCTTGTACATAAGTCATTTTTTTAATAGCTCTTCATGTTAGACTTTATTTGAAAGTTAATTTTGTCTCATGCAACTTTATTAGTTCAGATGTGTCAGTAATATTATGACATCTGGATCTTTACAAGGAAAAGAACATTTTCAGCTGGGAGTGGAACCGGCAGGTGGGGAGTGAACAGGAGCCTCACTGTGAGAAGCAAGCCTGAACTACATCATGAGTTCAAGGCGAGACTAAACCACCTAGTGAGATTATGTCTTCAAAACAAAACAAGGACTTTTTTTATTTTTGTCAGTGCTTAACTCTTAGAAAAATCAGAAATACTGACAAAATATTTGGTTATAGTTGTTTGCCTCTGAATTTTAATATTTTTATTTACAGAGGAGAATATAAGGAAAATAAAGTCAAAATGGATAGAATCTCTGAGTTCATATTCCAAACTCAAATTCTTTATCTCTCACCTTAAATTTTTCAGCTATTCACCTCATTGAAGAGATTAATTTCTTTTCTGCTAATCCATTTCAGTCTAACATGATACTTTGAGAGTCTTTATAGCTGATAATTTTACATAGGGACACTTAGAGATATCATAATCAGAAATAACCACTGTTTTAACTACAGCCTGATTTTATTTGGAACAACACAATCAATAATCACAAATAGTTAAAAGAGTTGCTGACCAGATACTCAGACTTGAGTTAACCAAATATGTGGTTCATTTTTCACTAATGAACAAGTTTCTTGGGCTTAAGGAGAAATGAGTTTTCAGAAATCTAAGCAAAGCTTTGTGTCTCTTTTTTTTCTTTACCAGTAAAACCAATACGATATGCAAGAAATGTGCTCAGAATGTACAGTTGTATGGAACGGTAAGTTGGATTTCTTTGTATCTAATAGTAGTTGGTTCTCTTGGTACTTGTCTTCCATGGACTATTAATGTCAGTCAGTGGAAAATTTTTATTAGAATAACTTACATTAATATATCTAATTTCTCAGCTTTCAGACTTAGTTAATACTTATTATGGCGTTCTGTGATTAGAGTCGCTCTGGTGGGATTATGACTACAATTTTTTTTTGAGTGGCTTCAGTGACCAATGTGAAAAAAAGGGGAAAGAAGAATGACGACCTCTTTGTTTGATAACAATTGTCTGTTTTGACGAATGATTTTTTTTTTCTCTTAATGTTAAGGTTCAGGATGCTTTATATTTGCAGGGATTTTTTTTGACATGCTTATATATTGATAGTGCCGTAGTAGGCTTTTCAGAAATTTGGTTGTAGCGGGGCATGGTGACATAGGAGAACCCCCATGCATTTGAGGGCATCCTGAGCTACCTAGTGAGTTCAAGGCCAACCTGAACGACATAGTGAGACCCTGTTCAAAAACGGGGGAGCTGGGGCTGGGGATATAGCTCAGTGGCACAGCACCTGCCTGGTAAGTTAAAGATCGTGAGTTTGGGCTCAGTACCTTAAAAAAAAAAGAGCAAACTTATGATGTTGGCAATGTATTTTCACCATGACCAATGTACTACACAGTAGAAATTGTTACTTAAAATGTACTGATATCTTATAATTATTTACTTGACTTTTTTTCTCTCTTTAAGCCCAAACCTTGTCAGTATTGCAACATAATTGCGGCATTTATTGGCAATAAATGCCAACGCTGCACAAATTCAGAGAAGAAATATGGACCACCATATTCTTGTGAACAGTGCAAACAGCAGTGTGCATTTGACAGAAAAGATGATAGAAAGAAGGTAAACCTCTGTGTTTTTCTTGATTTTCCTTTTTCTTTCAGAGAAATTAAAATAGGCCAGTGGCATTAAAGATACAAAGAGAAAAAAAGATACAAAGAACGTTCCTTTCCTGATTCTGCTGTTGACTTGGAAGAAGATAGATTTTATTTTTTTCATTTATCAAACCTGGATTGTGATATTCTAACTCTTTTTTGTTGGGGGGGGGGCTTTTTGGTATTAGAAATCAAACTCAGGACCTTACGCTTGCCAGGCCAGCGCTATGCTGCTGAGCTAGCTACTTTCCTGGCCCCATATCCCAACATTTTATAAGAATCCAAATTATATTGATTGATTTCACTGCAATTGGGATACTGTATGTTAGTGGTAATTGACAGATGTCTATAGAAATTCTCAAAAGGAGAGATTGTGACTTAAGCAAGATAAAGTGACATTACCATTATTACTGTCTGGCTTTGTAAATTTTTCTATTGAAATTACAGATCATGTGCCTGCCTGGCAAGTGTGACGTCATGAGTTCAATCCCTGGTACCCCCCCCCCAAAAAAAAAAAAAGAAAGAAATTATAGATCACAACCCAGCATGGTGGTGTACTCCTATAATCCCAGCACTCGGGAGGCTGTGGCAGGTGATCATTGCAAGTTTGAGACCAGTCTGGGCTACAAAGTGAGCCCAAGGCCAGCCTGAACCACATAGTGAGACCCTGTCTCAAAAAGACAAAAAGAAAAAAGAAAACAGAAATTACAGATCATAAGAAAATGACATTAGAGGGAAACTGTATTTGAGGGTTTTGTTTGTTTGTTTGTTTGCTTTTCAAAACAGGGTTTTGCTATACAGTTCAGGCAGATCTTAAACTTACTTTGAGTGTCCAAATTGACCTTGAACTCACAGTGATCCTCTTGCCTCAGCCTCCTGAGTACTGGGATTATAGGCATGTGCCACTGCTCCCAATTAGGGAAGCCACATGTGGAATAGTGATACCTGGTGGAATCAGAATGATTCAGAGTTTGGTCAGAATATTACTCTCCTGATGAAACTCCTACACTGCCATTAGACTTAGAATAAAACCCAAACCCTGTCCATCCCTGCAAGGCCCATGCCAGCTGTCAATCTCAGTTTTCATCATGCTTCCTGCTTCCCCCCACCTTCAGCCATAATGGCTGCCTTTCAGTCCTGCAGACACACCAGTCTTAGTAGTCTTGCTGCCCCTCCATTATGCTTCCTGTTCTTTTTGTCCAGCGTGCCCCCCTCTAGAGTGTCATAAGTGGCTCCTCATGTCAGGTCTCAATCCAGATGCCACCTCCTCACACAGGCCTTTTACTGACTTCCAGTTACTTTGTGTGTGTGTTTGAGGGGGGAGGTGCTGGGGATGGAACCCAGGGCCTGTTAGAGGCTAAGCAGCTACTCTACTACTGAGATAAACCGCCGCATCCCTTCAGTTACTCTCTATATCATTATCGCCTTGTTTTATGGTCTTCAAAGTATGTAACATTATGAAAAATTGTCTTATACTACTCAGTGAACTGTTTGGCAACATTGTTCTCTCGTATATCCAGCATCCTGGCACATAATAGGTAATTAATAAATACTTATTGATTAGGTGAACGTAGTATAACTGGGTGGCACACGGCTAGTAGTCCTGGCACTTAGAAGACTGAGTGAGGCAGAAGGATTGAGAGTTGTGAGCTCAGCCTGGCCTATGTAGCAAAATCCTGACTGAGAAAAAAATATAGTATAGAAAGTCATTTTCAGTGCCCCGAGGTGCTTTTCAGAGGTGCTGAAGCTTTCAAGGGCTAACTCTTGTTAACCAAATTCATTAATTTATAATGGATTCCCTTATAATTTATAAGTTTCCTGTGACCAGATCATAGTACTCCTCCCTGCCAACCAGATTACCTTTCCCTGAATCAAGAAACTGGAAAAGCTGAATTAGTAATAAAGAGACAGCTTATAATAGTATATTACGCAGGTCAGGGGGACAGCTCAAGCTTTATAGTCTTCTGCACCTAAGTCTCGTCCCCTCTGGGGCCAGCTGAATGATCCTGGGCAAGTTACTGCCATATGCAGTTTTCATATTTTTTCCATTGGGAATAACAGTAGCTACTTACAGAAACATGGAGTGATTTAATGAGATAGTTATAGAAAACAATTTTGAGGCCTACATATAATATGACTGAAAAGTGCCTATATTATTATTAAATCAGACTCACATGTGTAAACATCATATTGTCTCCCTAGTATAAGAATCTGAAAAAGTCAATCCAAAAGGTGCAGTAGATAGTGTGACAGGGAAAGAAACTGCTCAAAAGGCAAGAACAACTGGGATGGAAGAATAACTTATATAGATAGAAGATGGCTAAGATAATTTGCTACTAATTCTATTAGTACTGTTTCATCAGTTTTGCATGCCTGTATCTGGTAATCTGGGCAACTATTTGGAAGATAACATACAATACAATAACCACTGTTAATTTCCTATCATCTTTTTTTCGGTACGGGGATCAGATTTACGACCTTACACTTGCCAGCCAGATGTTGTGCCATTGAGCTACATCCCCACCTATTTCATATCATTTTGTTTTGAAATTCTGTATTGTTTTTATTGGATTTTTAAAAAATTCTCTTTTAAAAAAGTTTTTTTGTATATTCATTAACAAATATTGGGCCAAAGATTTAGCTCAGTGGCATAAGCACCTGCCTGGCAAGCACAAGGTTGTGAGTTCAGTTCCCAGTACCAAAAACAAACAAAAAACCCCCAAATATCAAGTCTTAGTTTTAGATAGTGAAAATACACTTAGTTATTTTTTTTTAGTTATTTTGTTATATTTTGTTTTTTTAGTTATTTTTTGGTTGTTGCTCAGACAAAATACCTAACACACAAAATTAAAGGAGATAAATTTATTTGGCTTACACTCTGTAGAGGTTTCAGTTTATAGTTGGCTGTCTCCTAGGCAGAGGGGCATGGCAGAGGAGCAACATTCATAGAAGGCAGCCAGGAACAAGTGACCCCAACAAGGCCCTCTTTCTGTCTAGACTATTTGCGTTTAGGGCAAGTAGCACACACACCTAGGAAGGGCCTTCCTGTTATCCACTCCCAGAGCTATGCAAACCAATCAGTGGGCTAAGTTAGTAATCACACCCTTGATCCCAGCATCAGCACTCTAGATTGAGCCACCTCAGAAAAAGCTCCACCTATGACCACATGAGGCTTTGGGGGGACACATAAATACAAGCCATAATATACACTGATGAACTAAACAAGTAGGACCAGACGCTCGCGGAGCTTATGTGTGTGTGAGAAAGAGATGAGCAAAGACAAAGGAGGTAAGTAGACACATATTTTAGGTGTAAATGCAATAAAGAGGTGGTAGTGCACACAACTCTCAATCCTTCTGCCTCACTCAGTCTTCTAAGTCAGTTTATTCAGGATGACCAGTTAGTTATACAAAGATTCTGAGGCAGAAATGAGCTTGGTACATGGGAAGAATACAAAAACAGCAGAATGAACAAGAGGAAGGGAAAGTAAAAGAGCTTATAGACACAGATATAGGCTACATTTAAGTAACATGGGCCTCAGTAAAAGTTTGGATTTTATGCTAGGTACAAGGAGAAATCTTTGGCTGCTAAGGAGATAGCTTCAGGTTTAAGAAGCCCTCGTTAGCAGCTATGTGAAAATAGCTTGTAAGGGCCCAGGAATAGAAGTAGGTTGATCACTGGGCAGCTCTTGTAGCAGTGAGAGATGGACTAGCTCTGCTAAAATAGAAATGGTAGAGTTAAAAATGAGATGTCAGGTGTGGTGGTGCACGCCTGTAATCCCAGCATTTGGGAGGCTGAGGGAGGAGGATCACCATGAGTTTGAGGCCAACTGGGCTACAGAGTGAGTTCAAGGCCAACCTGAACTATGTAGCAAGAAACAAAACAAAACAAAAAATCAAGGGCAAATAAACAGTGGGCTGCAGGTTGGACCTGGCAGAGGATAAGGAACTAAGAGATTTTCGTTTCCAGGATAAAAAACATTTTAGAGCTGGGATGTGGTGTTGGACACATGTAATCCCAGCACTAGGGAGACCAAGACAGGAGGATTGCTGCAAGTTCAAGGCCAGCCTGAGCTACATAGTGAATTCAAGGCCAGCTTGAACTACATAATGATACCCTGTCTTAAAAATAAATAAGTAAAATTGGGGCTGGGGATTTAGCTCAGCGGCATAAGCGCCTGCCTTGCAAGCAGGCAGTCGTGAGTTCAATCCCTGGTACCGATAAAAACGAAAAAGACCAAAAATAAATAAATAAATAAGTAAAATTGTAGTAAGAGGTTGGAATGTAGCTCAATGATAGAGCACTTACCTAAGTCACGTGGCCCCGCATTCAGTCACCAGCACTACCATCCCTAAGATGAGAGGCAGTTTTTATTAAGTAACTTATGTGCCAAGCTCCATTCTGACTGCTTTCTGTACATTACGTCACTAAATCTATGCAGCAGCCCTTGGTGACTTGCTCAGTCATACAATCCACAAGTGGCAGCACTGGAACTTCACCTGGAGGTTCTAGCTCCAGCGCCCACATTCTCAGCTGCTGCATTCCATTTCCTCCTCTTTGTCTCTTGTCTTCAGGTAGATGGGAAACTGCTGTGCTGGCTCTGCACACTTTCCTACAAACGTGTCCTTCAGAAGACCAAAGAGCAAAGGAAGCACCTGAGCAGCTCTTCTCGGGCCAGCCACCAGGAGAAGGAGCAGTACAGCCGCTTGAGTGGCGGCAGCCATTATAACAGGTGACCCCAGTGAATGAGATGGGCCAGGGGTGCTGGCAGGTGAGAGGCAGGCACAGGCAGGCATGGACAAAACCGTCTTGTAGAAGTTTTCCTAGTTTTTTCTCTCCTTACCCATAAGAATTTTCTTATACTTACAGTGTTCTTAGCCTTAGAGCGGGATATCTCTCTAGGGAATGGTACACTTAGCTTTCATACTTTTTTTCTTCATGTGTGTACGTGTGTGTGTGTGTATGATATCAGAAACTGAACACAGGCCTTCATATCATGGGGTATACACAATCTGTTTTTAAATTGTGAGATAGGATCTTGCTAAATTGTCCAGATTGGGCTTAAACTCCCCAGCCTTAGCCTCCCAGAGTACAGGAAATATAGGCGTATGCCAGCACACCTAGGCTTGGCTTCTATATTTTAAAATAGATTATTTGTTCATGGTGTTAATGGATATTCTGGGTTTATCAGGGTGAGGGCCAGTCAGAAGGTGTCTGCTGACTGATGACTGAAGCTTCCTTGCAGAATAACTATAGTATAAAGAGTTTTGGCTATGTTTGGGTACAGTAACATGCACACACAGCCACTTGTGAGGCTGAGGCAGGAGGACTGCAAGTTGAAGCCCAGCCTGGACCAATTTAGTGAGACTTGTTTCAAAGTAAAAAAGGGCTGGAAATGTAGCTCACTGGCATAGTACTTGCCTAGTATCAGTGAGGTTCCGGGTTCAATCCCCAGTACCACAGAAAAAGAAAGTTAAGTTGTGATTCTGAATTGAATTCTGGCTCTGCCCAGTTCTCTGTGAGGGAAATATTGGTATAGTCTTATGGGATTGTTGTGATGATAAATTATATAATAGATGCATAGTAATTAGTTTTATAAGTAGCAAATAAATATTCCATACATCATAGTTATTTTTTGTTATTACCATTGTGACTTTGTTTATTCAGCAAATTATTACATATTCTCAGCGCACAGGGACTCTGCTGGGAATACAGAGATGAATAAAAGAGTCATGCTACTCTCTAAGTATACAGTTGGGTAGAGAAGACAGACTGGTAATCACATCTCCACCTGCATCTGGCAATGCAGTGAGCACCACAGTGGAAACCTGGGAGATCCAGTCCTAAGAGCTGAGCATAGAGGTACACACCTGTAATTCCATCTGAGACAGGCGAATTGGGAGTGTCTGGTTGGCTGGGCTGCAGAGTGAGTTCAAGGCTAGTCTGGACTTAATAATAAATAAAATACACGCATGAGACTCAAGGCAGGCGTGGAGAAGAGTTGGGGTATAGCTGGATCTCGGGATAAGGTAGAATCATCAGATAAGGATTGGTATTCCTCCTCAGCTGCAGGAATAGCATTTGGAAAGACATGGAGGGCCTGAGAACACACAGAACCTGAGAGAATTTCAAGTCCTTTTACACTTGTAGTTAGGAGGCGAGAAGTGGGAGGAAAAGGTCCTGCAAACCTGGTAAAGAATGTGAACTTGATCCTGGGGCCAGTGGAAAGCCATGTAGGTAGGGATCTATGCAGAAGAGGGACCAAATCTGCATTAAAATGAATTAAACTTGACTAGTGGAAAATGCACAGGAAGAAAAAGGGAACAGAGGCCAAGAAGTTTTCTTAATAAGGGACCAGGCATTTTCTTTAAAAGAACCCCACCTGAGTGAGTCCGTGCCAGTGGAGGTTGAAGAGGCAGATTTAGGAAGGTACTTAAGAGGGAAAATTATCTGGGGATTTGGCTCAGTGGCTCAGGTGCTTGCCTGGTAAGTGCAAAGTCCTGAGTTCGATCCCTAGTACCAAAGAGAGAGAGAGAAGAAATGAAAAGAAAGTTAGTTTGATGAAGAAATAAATGGGCAGAAGCTGTGTGAGGCAAGGATAATCCCCATGTTTTTCATTTGTATGAACAGTGTCCTTAGTAGGTCCTTGAAAGAGAAAAAAGGACTGGGAAAAAAGAAAAGGTTTAGTTTGGAAAAGCTGAGTTTGAAGCATCAAGAATAATTATAGAAACTAAGTCTATAACTCAGAAGAGAAATTTGGACTCAGACAATTGGTAGCATGTAAGAATCACTGGGAGTAAAGATTATTTAAAAATGTAATTTCCTGGCATGGCATGGCAGATGCCTGTCGTCCCAGTACTGGAAGGGCTGAAGCAGGAGGATCGCTGTGAGTTAGGAGCCAGCCTGGGCTACATAGTGAATTCAAGGCCAGCCTGTACTGTAGCAAGACCCTGTCTGAAAAAAAAAAAGACAGATTCCTACAGCCCCACCCCTGAATTCAGGTCAGTAGGATCTGAGATACAATTCAGGAATCTGCATCATTTGATAAACATCTTAGAATTTTTTCTGTTTTGTTCTTTGAAGATAGAGTCTCACTGCACAGTTCAGGCTGGCTTTGAACTCTTGGTAGTTCTGGTGTCTCCGCCTCCCAAGTGCTGGGATTACAGGCATGTACCGCCATGCCCACTTCTCGTCTGGGATGATTTTAATGAAAGTGGTTTGGAAGACACTGTGTCCAATCCTATGTTAAAACCATGCTTTTAGATAATGTAACTCAGACTAGGGGCTGATAACAAAACTCTAGAAGCAGTGGGTGTTTGTTTGTTTGTTTGTTTGTTTTTATGACAGGGATCAAACTCATGACCTTGCACTTGCCAGACAGGCGCTTATGCCACAGTGCTAAATCCCCAGCCCCAAAGCAGTCAATATTTAAGAAAGGGATGAAGAACTAAGAAGTAGCTGTTACAGAAGTAGGAGGAATGCTGGGCACCTGTAATCCCAGCTATTTGAGAGACTGAGATGGGAGGATTGTGTTTGAGACCAGCTTGGATGATTTAGACCTTGTCTCGGGATAAAATGAAAAGGGCTGGGGAGGTAGCTCAGTGGTGGTACATGTGCTTAGGATGATCAAGGCCCTGTATTCAATCTCCAGTACCACTCCCTCAAAAAAAGAAAATTAAAGTTTCAAGAAGGATGGTTGGTGGAATCATGTACTGGAGAGAGGTCAAGTGAGGAAAGGTCTGCAGAACTCTTTGCTTGTAACAACTGAACATCCATCAAAATGAAAAGTTGCATACCAGGAAGTCTTCAAGCTTTTCTGTCAAGTCTAGTTTTATGTAACCTTCCTGGGTCTAGAACTGACTGTATTATGAAACTCAGATACCTGTAGTAGGTTCAGAGGGTACAGTGAGAAAGAGCAGGAATTGAAATATGTCAATCTGGTTTCTAGTCACAGCTTTACTACTAACTAGCTGTCTGATCCTTGAGCAGGACAATTAACCTTGATGAGCTCGATTTCTGGAAGCAAAGTAGAAATGTACCTCTCATTTTGATAGGACAGCAGGTATATGTGAGCCAGTGAAAGGACATACTTTTTAAAGTGGAAGACAGATTATACTTACGAAGTTTTATCTGTTCTGTTCTCATGTGTATTAATAAAGCAGCTAATATTTGTTAAAAGCCAAGAATGTTTGTTGGTTCTGTGGAAACTGCTCATACATGCATTATGGGCCTACAAAATCAACATCTTGGTAGATTTTAATCATTGAAAATACAAGCGCTGCATAGAAGAGCTACTTTTTTTACATTGGTCCATTTGAAAGGCTTTCTTTTTTTATTATTTTTTTGATACTGGGAATCGAACTCAGGGCTTTGTGTTTGCAAGGCAGGCACTGTGCCACTGAGCAGTATCCCCAGCTTGACAGACTTTCACTGTGGTGTTTTTTAATCTTTGATTTCTAACATGTATCTTTCTTTTTGCTTAATAAAAGCCAGAAAACACTTTCTACATCTTCAATTCAAAATGAAATCCCAAAGAAAAAATCCAAGTTTGAGTCAATCACAACCAATGGAGATAGGTAAGTCAGCTGGAGTATGTGTACACATCATTTGAAATGTTTACAAAATGTTTATGTTGTTGTTATAACAATGTGTGTTAGGATGTACTTCAGAGCTAGTCTAAGCTATCATCTGTTTATAAATTGAATCTTGTCCTTAAAATTTAAGAACTTGCTGGGCATGGTGGCATACAGCTGTAATGCCAGTACTCGGGAAGCTGAGGCAGAAGAAGGCTGAGATTGGGCTGAGGATTTAGCTCAGTGGCATAAGCACCTGCCTTGTAAAGCAGGCAGTCATGAGTTCCATCCCCAGTACCAATAAAAAGGAAAAAGACCAAAAAAAAAAAAGAAGAAGAAGGCTGAGGTAGGAGGATCATTGCAAGTTCGAGACCAGCCTGAGTTACCAAGTGAGCTCAAGGCCAACCTGAACTGAATAGTGAGACCCTGTCCCTAAAAGACTAAATAAATAAGTAAATAAATAATAAATAAATACTAAGAGCTTGTGGGCCATGGATTTAATTCAGTGGCACAGTGCCTGCCTGGTAGGTGTAAGGTCCTGAGTTTGAGTCTCAGCACTCCCAAAAAATAAAATAATATAAAAAAAAATCAAATCTGAGAACTCATAACTGGGGCTGGAGATTTAGCTCAGCGGCATAAGCACCTGCCCTGCAAGCAGGCAGTTGTGAGTTCGATCCCTGGTACTGATAAAAAGGAAAAAAAAAAAAAAGAACTCATAACTAATTGGATTTAATAGCAATTGCAAAAGCAATAGCAAAGGTAACTCCTTTGCACTGATTCTAGGAAGTCAGAGCTGAACACTTTTTACTATAAGCTGGGTCAGTAACCTCTAATCGGAACAGGAGTTGGCTTCGAGAGGCACAGTAGGACTGAGGCAGTGTTGTTCTGTCTGTGAGGGGGCCATCCATGCTTCCTTAGCATACAGAACATCAGCCCAGTGCAAATGCTTGATCAGGAGAAAGTGAGATGCATTTAAAGTTTTCATTTTCAGCCTGTCTGAATGCACATTTTTATTCCTCGCTTTCCTCTGTCCTTCTCAGCGATGCTTCCTCTTACGAGCTGCTTTGTCCTAATATCCAGAGTGCCCCATCCATGTTGGTGCAGTGGGCTGCTTCCCAACAGCATCGTGGGACCAGTCATTTTCCTGTTCCTCCAGGCCCAGGCATCCTGAAATGAGACCACCTGACACCCTGCCCTAAAATCCCTGGAATCATCCCCATTCTGAAACTACCGCATTCCCAGTTCTCCCTCCCAGCCAGTGGAGGATATGAAGCAGCCATTCATACCAAGGCTGAATTTTTTAATTTAGCAGACTACAGAGTATCTGAGAAGTTACTCTTTCCTGTTGTCTTTTTCATTGCCTTGATTTCAGACCCTTCAGATAGGGTCTCTTTGCAACTAGTTTAATTTTAATGTTTTTGAGTTAAACATTTTGGAAATGCTTAATTTGTATGTTTGGATACTATGAGGTACGCAACCACGAAGACCATTTTCCTGTCAGCTTTATTGGTGTCTGAGCAGCTGCTCTGGCAGTTCTGAAGAAATAAGATAATAGTCTTGCTATGTCACCCAGACTGGTCTTAAAATGCCAGGGTTCAAGCAATCTTCCTGCTGCCTCCCAAGTGGGAATGAACTTACATTTCATTTCATTTTCATTTTACATACACATAGAGTGCTTTAGAACTCTCTGAATTGTCAGTGGACCTTTTCAGAGTGTTCCACTGCAGTACTGACACCTGTTTATTGGCTGAATCTTGTCATTACATATGAGATACTTATAACTAACTGGATTTAGTAGTAATAGCAGTTCACTAGGTAACTCCTCTGCACTAATTCTAGGAAGTCAGTACAGAACACTTACAACTAAAATATATATATATTTTATATACCTGTTGAAATGCTTATGCTATGCCTCCTGGGATGAGTTTTACATGTGCTTTGGAGCTACTCTAAGCTATTGGTGAACCTTTTTGGGGTGTTACACTGCAGTACTGATACCTAGACCGATAGATTTGTTTGTTTTTCTTGAGACAGGATCTCACTATGCAGTCCAGGCTGGCCTTAAATTTGTGGCAGTCCTCCTTCAGCTTCCTGAGTGCAGGGATTACAGGCATGCACTCCCACATTTGACTTTATATTTTGTTTTTGTGGTGATACTAGGGATCAAACCTAGTGATGCTCCACTGCTGAGCTGCATCCTCAGTCTTTTTATATTTTTATTTGTTTATTTTTTGTTTGTGTAGGATCTCTCTCTATAATCCAGACTGGCCTCAAACTCACTATGTAGCTCAGGCTGGTCTTGAACTCACAGCAATCCTTCTGCCTCAGCTTCCCAAGTGCTAGGATTACAGGCATGCACCAGTGTCTTGGGGCCAGCCATTTTCCTATTCTTTCAGGCTCAGGCATCATGAAGTGGATGCCCAGCTTTTAATTTTGTTTTGAGACAGTGTCTTGCTAAATTGCCCAAGTAGGCCTCACACTTGGAATCCTTTACTTCGTTTTAAATGCTTAGATTACAGTTGTACCCCATAGTACCCTGCTAGCAATGTACTTTTGAATGGCCTGTAAAGCAAGGCATTCTCATCAAGCACAATGATGCATGTCTGTAATTTTAACACTTGGGAGGCTGAGGCAGGAGAATCCAGAGTTCAAGGCTGGCTTGGGCTGCATAGTAAGACTGTCTCAAAACAGCAACAGCAACCAAAAGGGAGGGCATTCAAGCCAATGCCTATGTATTTAAATGTATCATTTCTGTTTGTCTTCATTTATGATCTAGGCTGTGTTTGAATGATCTGGAAAAAGGCTCATTAATGCCCTCTAGTTTAACCAACCAACCCATAAAATTTACTATTGGCTTATTTTATTCTTGAAATACTGCCACTGTTTTTCCTATCCATTGTCATGGATTTATCAAGCCAAACCTCAGACTTTCAGTTCAGATTGTTTTACTGCACCTGGCCACTAGCAATGACTCTCCCTCATGTACAATGCTGATCCTTAGGTACATGGGCTTTTGTGATACCCTCCAGAAAAGATATTAAAGACCACTTTTCCCCAAAAATGACATACTAACTTGTGAAGGTAATCTATAATTTGAAAATTTGGAAAAATTTTTGTTTGTTGCCATAAAATTTTAAATGTCAATTGAATGTTCCTGCGTTCAGAATCTTTACATTTTACTCTTGTTATTTGCATTTCTTTGCTTTAGATATTCATTACGCAAGATAAATTACATATTTAGTTTTTAGTTTTTGCAGTTTTTTGTTTTTTTTTTTTTGAGATAGGGTCTCACTATGCAGGTCAGGCTGGACTTGAACTTACTTTGTAGCCGTCTCAAACTCACAGTGATCCTCCTGCCTCAGCCTCCCAAGTGCTGGGATTACAGGCATGCACCACCAAGCCCACTTTGTAGATTTTTTTTTCCATTTTTAATTCACTTTGCAAAAAACATTCTGACAGTCCTTTCGGGTTTTTTGATAATCCTTTTTAATGTCATACATACCAAAAAAATTCTCTCTCACTCTCTCTCTCTCTTTTTTTTTTTTTGGTATTGGGGATGGAATTGATGACCTTGCACTTGCCAGGCAGGCTCTTGTGCCGCTGAGCTGTATTCCCGGCCCTAAAATTAATCTTAAACTATAGGAGCTCTTTAAGTCTCCTTTTGTTTTTTCCAAAAACTTTTTTAAACTGAATACTTCTATAGCAAGTATCAGTCTTGTATCTGAAATGTCCATTATTTATCTTTGTGCACACATGTAATTGCAGCACCCTTGCAGGCCTATAATCCCAGTACCTTGTGAGGCTGAGGCAGGAAGATGACAAGTTTGAGCCCAACCTGGACAATTTAATGACTTAGCAAGACCTGGCCAAAAGTAAAAGATGGGCTGGATATACAGTTTAGTGTAAAGGCCCTAGGTTCAATCCCCAGTACCCAATAAATGCATATATACCTAAATCAATCAACCAGCTGTAAAGGGAAACTCCAAGTTGTTGCTCTACTATCATTGGGAATTGGGAACCAATATTCCAGTAGACTGCTTGGGAAAAAAAGGATTGTGTTTAAAAGATTCTCCTGGGAGCTGGTTATAGTGGTGCATGCCTGTAATCCCAGCACTTAGGAGGCTGAGACAGGAGGATCATTTCAAATTCGAGACCAGCCTGGGCTACAAAGTGAGCTCAAGGCCAGTTTGAACTGCATAGCAAGATGCTGTCTCAGAAAGATTTTTATTTTATTATTTTTTTAATCAGTACTGGGGATCGAACTCACGACCACACACTTGCAAGGCAGGCGCTTAGGCCATTGAGCTAAATCCCTAGCCCCTTCTCAGATGTTTAAAGAATAAAAAGATTTTGTTAAGATGGTGGATAACTGGGGCTGGGGATGTAGCTGTTCCAGGGCTACACGTCATCACAGGGCTCTGGAGCACAGCCCTAAATGCTTGAGTTTATGATTTGCAATCTATCCAGAATTTTAGGAAGTTTTCTAATATAAACATGACTGTTTCTCAAGTAAATCAGTGAGGCTCTTTAGTCAAGCTGAACAGTACCCTTTGTTCTTGGGATTTGGCCTTCGTTTTAGTACTGAATGGGAGAGAAGAGGCTGCAGGCATGTGAGGGGTTGTGATTTGTGTTGGTGACCACTTGAGCTGTGCACTTCAGCAAATGCGTTAGTCCTGGTGAGGCCAGTGCTTGATACTTTTAATTCAGGTAGTGACTTTAGCACTGGAGGAGCTCACAATCAAGTGGCCTGGGTTGCATCCTCAGGTGGGGATGTTTATCCATCCAAGTTAAGGCTTTTTTCCTTCCATTTTCTCTGCAGCTTTTCTCCAGACCTCGCTCTGGACTCACCAGGCACTGACCACTTTGTCATCATCGCCCAACTGAAAGAAGAGGTGGCTACTCTGAAGAAGATGTTACATCAAAAGGATCAGATGATTTTAGAGAAAGAGAAAAAGGTATGTTTAGTGAAGACACAGCTTGGGGGACGATGTCAGGGTTCATTTGTGTGGAATGAGAGAAGATGACTCACTTCGACTGATAGTTGTTGGCCACTGATGCATGGAGAGAGATTCCAGAGCAAGTTGGGATATCCTGGGGTGAGGCTCTCTGTTACCAACATGACTCAAGGATGACATTACCTTGTCAGTCTGCCTCAACCACATAAGTTCAGAAAGCTGATTTTTCTTAGCATTTGGCGGGAGCTTCCCCTTCTCAAAGAAGATATTTATTACCCAAAATACAGAGACAACATATAAAACTACCGTGTTCACACCCTAATTCACAATGGAGCACATAGCAACGTACTACAGTCAGAGTGACCTCCCTTGGAAGGGTGTAATCAGAAGGTGTTGAATGGGCATGGAGTTGGGATAAGAGAGAGTATTTATGTCATTGGAATGTTTAATGCTCTCAGGCTAAAGGAACCCAATGACTACATCTCTATTATGGGATAGTTGTATCTATGGGACAGTAGTACTGAAAAGTATGTAGGCCAGGTCTCTTTCCTTATTGGACAGTGTCCAGCTGGTCCCACCTGCATGATTTTTATGTTACGGCTTCATCACTGAGAGCTCTCTGCAAACACAGTAATTCATTATTTTCATTTTTAATATTCTGTCTTCACATTAGCATATTCCTTTTTTTCTTTCTTTTCTTTTTTTTCTCTTTTATTTTGAGATGTAGTTCAGGCTGACCTTGAACTTATTACTGTATTCAGCCCAGACTGGCCTTGAATTTGTGGTAACCCTCCTGCCTCAACCTCCCAAGTATTGGGATTATAGGTATATGCCATCCTGCCTGGTTTGGCTCTTTCTATTTTTTAATTTGAGAACAGAGTCTTGTTAAGCTGCCCAGGATGGGCTCAAACTTACAATTCTTCTGCCTTAGCCTCCCGGAGTGTTGGATTACAAGCATGTGCCACTGTACCCAGCTGTATCATTTTTCTAGTGTTATGATCATGTCTTCATGATAAGACCAGTCTAAGAGTTATCCTTTCTCTGGAAGGTAGCTTTTTATATCCTTGTTCTAATTCATGTTTATAGTTATCTTATTTTCAAGTCTTTAGTATCTCATTTTTGCCTTAATAACAATGATAGCTAGCTTTTCTTAGATGCTTACTTTGTGTCTGTCTTTTGGAAGTATACTAGCTTAGGATGTGTGTAAACTCATTCTTTTTTTAATTTATTTTTTATTGATACATTTTTTTTTAACAATTGAGGATCAATTTATTAAAACAGTTGCTTTAGGCATCTGTGATGGTGACTTCAACCTCCACTCCTGGCTCAATGCTAATGGGAGTAATCTGCTTCACAATCTCAGGACTGTGCAAATCAGTGAGTCGTTTGTGGATTCTCATCTGGAAGCTATACCATGTCTTAAAACCTTCACCACAAGGCGTTTTTCTTGTAGTGATTCTCAAGGTCTTTACTAGGCATTCGAACGGGTCCTTTCACTCTGAGATCCTTTTCCTTTGCTCCTCTGATCGAGTCAGCACACACCTTTTCCAGCGACTTCACGTTGCAGCTGGTGAGGGTAATCCTAATTCGGTGAATCGCCACCTCTGGCTCCACAGGTGTTTTTCCAGTATCTTTAAACACCGGTGGGGCTTCCTGACCAACTTGTTCCTCGGAAAGAGCGACAGCAGTGAGTCAGGAGCAGGTGGTGGACGCTACCCAGCCATGCCACACCCACCACCACCTCCTGCTCGGAAAGCTTATTGGTACATTTTAGATATACAAAATGATAATATGCATCATAGGGGATTTGTATCAGTACATGATATATCTTGCTGCTACTGCTTTTTTTTTTTTTGTGCTGGGAATTGAACTCAGGACCTCACCTCTGCCAGGCAGGTACTGTGCCATTGAGCTATATCCCCAGCCCTTTTTTTTTTTCCCCATTTCCACAGTGGTTGCACCGGTCTACACTCCCACTAATAGTGGAGAAGGATTCCTTTTTCCCCACAGCCCCACCAGCATTTATTATTGGTTGAGTTCTTGATAATAGCCATTCTTTCTAGAGTGAGATGAAGTCTGAGCATTGTTTTAAATTGCATCTCTTGAATGACCAGTGATGTTGAACATTTTCTCATACATTGATTTATCATTTCTACTTTCTCTGAGAAGTGTCTGTTCATTTCAGATGCCCATTTTTTTAATTGAGTCTTTAAATTTGGGGAGTCTAGCCAGGCGAGGTACTAGACACCTGTAATCCCAGCACTTTGGAGGCTGAGACAGGAGAATTGCTGCAAGTTTGAGACCAGCCTAGGCTGTATAAGTGAGCTCAAGGGCAGTTTGGGCTACATAGCAAGACCCTGTCTCAAGAGTAAATAAATAGATTAATTAATTAACTAATTAGTTTAGGAGGTATGATGTGAGTTCTTCAAATATTATTGATGGTAGTCCTGACAGTGGTGCTCTGCTATTACTGAAGTTGAAAAACACCAGCAACAAAATAGATGCTAGTCCTTTGAGGAACACCTATAGGAAACACCATAGGAAATTTTTTCCTATGTCTCTGCACTTTGTTGGTGGTTTCTTCTGTGGTGTTAAAGCTTTTTGATAAGATGAGATCCAAAGTTGTTGATTCTTTGTCACAACATTTTGGAGCACTGGTTTGGTTGTCATGAATTTCTTCAAGTGTTGTTTGTCATGGGAGTATTTTATTTCTCATCAGTGTTGCCAGATATTTTTGTGAGATACATCAATCTGGGCTAAAGGTTGTTTCCTTAAGGGCTTGAAATACTTTTAAGTTCTCCTTGACTTGAGAGTTTGTGTTGAGAAGTCTGCTGTGATTCTGATGGGCTTTGTTTTATGTGTGATTTGTTTCTTTTCTCATGCAGCTTTTAATATTCTGTTTTTATATTGAATTTCTGGAATATTGACTATTATATACCTTGGTATAGTTTTTTTATTATTATAGTTAATAATGTATATAACACTGTATATAATAATGTAATAACATATGTCTCACTTATTTGTATGTTGAATTCTTTTTTCCATGTTTGGGAAGTTTTCTGCCATTACTTTATCAACAGGTGGTTTTTTATGTCATTGTTCTATTGCCTGTTTTTTCATTGTCTTGATCAATCTTATGTTATTCTTCTTTGTATCATCTAGCAACTGTTGGATTGACTTCTGTGTTCCTTGCTTTTTTTTGAGACACAGGGTCTTGCTATGCAGTTCAGGCTGGCCTTGAGCTCACTTTGTAGCCAAGGGTGGTCACAAACTTGCAACAATCCTCCTGCCTTAACCTCCCAGGTGCCGGGATTATAGGCATGTGCCACCACACCTGGGTCTCTTGCTATTTTTAAGAAACCTTTCTTGTCATGATCCCTAACTTCAGTCCTGTCTTCTGTATCTGAAATTCTGTCATCACATTGGCTCATTCTGCTTCATATACTTTCAGTAGAATTTTTTTTTTCAGTAGAATTTTTAATCTCCTGGTTATCTGTTTGAATCTATTTCATGGATTCCATTTCTCTCATATGTTGGGCATTCCTGGTTTCCATAATTTTCCTAAGCTCCTCTATTTTTTTTTCTGTATCTGCTCCAGAGTCACTAACTGTGTCTTTCATTATGATTGCCATCTCTGTAGTCACCTGAGATATTATTTCTGATTTGATTATTTCTAGCTTCATTCTTCTGCTGTTACCACTGCAGAGATTCAGGTGGGTGGCTCTGGAATTGTTCCAACTTGTTGTCCCCTAGGTTTGCCTTTGGTGAGCTGGAGGCCTGGGGTTGCACCTGGCTTAGGTGTCTTCTCATTTTCTGTTTCTGTTTTTTAGTTTAATTCCTGGGTTGATGCTTGAAAAAGGCTAATGGCAGGTAGTTTTATTGCTAGTGTTGAGGACTGAACAAAGCATAGAGGCATATGCCTGTAATCCCAGCACTAAGGAGGCTGAGGCAAGAGGACTGCCATGAATTCAAGGCCATCTTGTACATAGTGAGCTCAAAGCCAGGCTGAACTACACAGTGAGACCCTGTCTCAAAGGAAAAAAAATAGTATTGGGAGCTCTCAGTCATTAGGAAATGACTGTTTCTCAGAGATGTCTTCCTAGTGTAATGGCCTTTAAGTTTTGAGTCTCCTGCAAGAACCTAACCCTCCAGTTAGTGGGGGTGAGAATTTACTGTCCGTTTGACCAGCCCCCTGGTTCTTTGACACTGGCCTGTAGTACTGTTTGTGACCCTGAGGCAGTCTCAGTCTTGCCACCTCTTTCTGCGTTGAGATCCTTCTCTTCTCTCTCACCAGTGGTGTCAGTTCTCACTTCAGATCCTTACTGGGTCTCAGGGACCCATTGCCCTCTTTCTCCTCTTCCTCACATTGCTATATACCAGTGTCTGGACAGCAAATTTCAGAGAAGTGGTTTCTCAGCTGTTTACCACTCTGCCATCTTCCCAGAAGTCCCAGCTCATTCATTTATTATAACAACCTTTTTTTCCCTCTTGATTTTAGTGCTTTAAAACAAGGTCTCACTATGTAGCCTGGGCTGGCCTTGAAATTACAGTGATCCAAGGGCTGAGAATTTAGCTCAGCAGTGTAAGCATCTGCCTGGCAAGCGCAAGGTCATGAGTTCAATCCCTGATAACACAAAAAAGAAATTACAATGATCCTCCTGTCTCAGCCTCCCAAGTGCTGGGATTACCACACCCCATTTATGGCAACTTTGTGAGTAAGAATTATTACCTCATTTCACAGATGAGGAATGCCTCCAGTATTTTTCCTTCTTAAGATTCCAGTCTCCTTCCTGTGTTTTTTTTTTTTTCCCTAAGACCATACATTGTCTTGTGCCAAATTCAGAATGCTGTAACTCACTCTAAGTAGATAACAAAGACATTTATACTATTAAATTCTTCTCTTCCCTTTTCTTTCTTTCTTTTTTTCTTTTTTTCTTCTGAGACTGCTTCTCTGTGTCATCACAGCTGACTTTAAATTTCTGGGCTTAAGTCCTCCTGCCTGAACCCACCTTCTGTTAAATAAATTCCTGCATTCTTCTCTCACTTAATTCTCACCTCATTTTGCAGATAAGCAAATATATCCAAAGTGGTTGAATAGTGTGTCCAAATTGCTCACAAAATGATGAAACAGAGGAGTGGACTCAAGTCTTTTCTAATAACTGCTGTTTTTAATTCTGCCAGTAAGGTGGAAATTCACAGGAAGATACCGGTATTCTTTCCACTTTACTTGTGACTAGCAGATGAAAGTGGGCCCAAGTATATTTTATGTGCCCAGATCAGAATGGCACACAAAAAGACCTTTGCAAAACAGACAGAATGAACACGTGTTCCTACTGCTTTGCAGAATTAGGGTTTTGAAGCCAGGCATGTTAGTGCATGCCTGTAATCCCAGCACTTAAGAGGCTGATGCAGGAGGATCATCACAAGTTCAAGGCCTACTTGAGCTACACAGTTCAAAACTAGCCTGAATACATAGCGAGACCTTGTCTCCAAAAAAAACCAAAAACAATTAGGGTTTTGAAAAGTACAGAAACAAATAATAATATTGTATCCTGTGGCTTTCAGGACAAGGTCACACCTCATGGCTTGGGACACACTTTTCTACATCGCAGGTGCTGGTCCCTGGCCTCACCTCTTACCCTGTCTGGGTCATCAGTCATATCTGCCTGTGGCCATACTGCTTCCTTTGCTTGGGTGCCCTTCTTTCTGCTCACCTTAATTAAGTGCCTGTTGCTCCTGTTCCGTAGAACTCAGCTCACACACTATATCTCTGGTTTAGCTCTCCGCTGATCCTAGAATAGCATAGTCTGTAGAAGTGAGCCTAGAGTTTGAAATCCAGCTCTGTCACTTGCTAACACTATGGATGTTCTTGGCCAAGTTATTTAATCCTTTCTATGTCTTTATTTTCCTGTCTATAAAATGGTAATACTGTCCCTACTAGGTTATCATAAAGATTTAATGAAGCTGGGTGTGATGGCACCCACCTGTATCCCCAGAGTCTGAGGAGGAGGGGCATGAGTCGGAGGCCAGCCTGGACTACATAGCAAGACCTTGTACAGAATAGCTAAAAAAGGAGTTGGGGCTGGTGATGCACACCTGTAAGCCCAGCACTCAAGAAGGCTGAGGCAGGAAGATTGCTGCATATTCGAGGCCAGTTTGAGCTACATAGTGAGTTGAAGGACAGCCTGAACTACATAACAAGACCCTGTCTCAAGAAAAAAAATTGAATGAAGTAATAAAATCATTTTTTCTGGAACATGGTAAAAGTTCAGTAATTGGCAACATCTATTACTCCCATGGCTTTTCTCAAACCATTAGTTATCTTATATATTGTTTTATTTGGAGAAGTTGGCATATATTAAATACCTAAAATCTTAAGAATTTGTTAGTGGCTAAGAATCCAAAATGTTAATTCGGTACCAGACAGAATGGTTCATGTCTGTAGTCCCAGCTACTCTGAGGGCTGATTGCTGAAAGACAGTTGGAGCCTAGAATGATCAGGGCTAGACTGCTCAACAGTAAGGCACGTTGGGTGTGGTGGTGCATATCTGCAATACCAGCACTGCAATACCGGCTAAAGCAGGAGGATGGGGCCAGTTCAGGGCCAGCCTGGGCTACACAGTGAGTTTAAGCTCAGCCTAAAACTGCATAGCAAGACCCTGTCTCAAAAAACCAAAGGAGAGAAAGAAAAAAAAAATGAGACACTGACCTTTTAAAAAAACAAGGAATATTAGTTCAGGTAAGCTTTAGAATAAAATATAATACCTCCTGGCTTGTTGTAGGTATAGATCTGTGGGAGAGCCCTGGAGATTTCATGAATTTCGGAGACCATTTAGCTGTCTAATACCGAAACATTTTTCATTGCACAGAAATTTCTTCTAGTCACTACCTTTTATCCTTTAGATTACAGAGTTGAAGGCTGATTTTCAGTACCAGGAATCTCAGATGAGGGCCAAGATGAACCAGATGGAAAAAACCCATAAAGAAGTCACAGAACAATTGCAGGTGACTCTGCTTACTTTGTGTGGTGGCCTGGGGTAGTTGCCTGATTGTGGGTTTTTTTTTTTTTTTTTTTTTTTGTCTTTTTTAGTTTTTATCGGTACCGGGGATCGAACTCACGACTGCCTGCTTGCAAGGCAGGTGCTTATACCGCTGAGCTAAATCCCCAGCCCCTGCCTGATTGTGTTTTAACTATTCATCTCAGGAATTTTTTTTTTCAAAATATTGATGCATCACAAAATATTAATGAATCATTTTTGATGTATTTTATTGTTTTACTCTTGAATGTGTTCTATCTTTTCCTCTCAAAAATAGTAGGATTAATATATGTGTTCCTTATGGCCCAGGGATTTAGCTCAGTGACATAAGCACCTGCCTGGCGAGCACAAGGTCATGAGTTCAATCCCCAGTACCAAAATAAATAAAATAAATGTGTTTCTTGATTTTTTTAGGGTACCTAGTAGGATTTTAAATGTCTGAGTTAATTTCTATTTTTCCAGTTCATTAAAGGACTCCCTGGTTTGTTTGTACTGAGTAAAGCATACTTTTAATAAAACAGTGGGTCTAGTCGAGAGCCAGGTTATAACTTAGTGATACAATGCCTGCAAGGTCCTGAGGTTGATTCTTGGTACCAAAAATTAAAAATAAATAAATAGAACACTTAAAACAGTAGGTCCACTAGGCACGGTAACACATGCCAGTGATCCTAGCACATGGGAGACTGATGCAAGAGTGTCACCATGAGTTTGAGGCCAGCCTAGGCTACATAGTCAGTTCAAGACCAGCCTTAAGTACAAAGTGAGACCCTGTCTAAATAAATTAATTAATTAAAAGAAACCAACAGTGGAACCTTAGAGACAGAAACACCTTCATTGGCGCCTAGCAAATATTGTTTTCTCTGAACCAAGTGTCAAGCCCTGGAGCTTTCTGCTACTTTCCACCTCTGAAATTGCATTAAAGCTCTTTTACTGTCCTTGAGGTCTGGAAAGTTTATTTTTATTTATTTATTTTTGTCTTTTTCATTTTTATCGGTACCAGGGATCGAACTCACAACCGCCTGCTTGCAAGGCAGGTGCTTATGCCGCTGAGCTAAATCCCCAGTCCCCGAAAGTTTATATTTTTAATCCCATGGAAATATTACTAGAATTCTGGTGAGTTAATTCCAATCTACCACTCCCAGTGCAACCTATGGCGAGAATAAAGACTAAGACATATTTACAGTTAAAGGTAGTCAAGGAGTCCTGAGTCCAGTCCAGATGAAGGTTCACAGAACAAAGGCCTCGACCCAGCACCTAACCCCGATTTTATTAATTCATTAAGAAGGGAGTGGCTCAAGGCTGAGTGACTGGGAGAATGGGAAATAGGTGAATGCTCTGAGCTAGCGAGGAGGCCAGAAAGCACCTCTGAAATGCGCAGAGAGGAGCGAATGCAGAAAAGCCAGTCTGCATAACACGACTAGGGTAGCATTTAACATTTAGGGGGCTGTTGGTTCAGTTTCTGATGTGTGAACTTTTATGTTTACACATGGGGAGTCATGCCCTCTTATCTTGAGGCTGGAACCCAGTTGACACTGGCTCTGCATCCGCTGGGCTCAGCCATTTAGGGGAGAAACAGGACTGTGCTTGGCTTCAGAGATTACACATCAATACCTCAACTAGCCCTGTTAACACTGTTTAGAGCCAATTGAAGGGAAAAGCAAATCAGATTTAGCTAAAGTAGAAGTAATTCTTCTGTATTCAAGGGAGAATCATCCATATGGTCTTCTGCAGACTTGACACTGTTCTTGTTCTTGTACTTCTACATTGTCTGCTTGCATATCTGCATGGAAAATGTATGCTACTATTTTTTTTATTATTACTATCCATTAAACTTAATTTTATTTCTCTTTAAGGCCAAAAACCGAGAGCTCCTGAAGCAAGCAGCTGCCTTGTCCAAGAGCAAGAAGTCTGAGAAGTCAGGAGCTATAACTTCTCCATGATGGCCACAGGCTGCTGCCCAGCAGGGCTGATGGCGTCACCTTGGGTTAGGCTTAGAGACCTGGCTGTTCTCTGGGAACCTCGAGCTTTCTGAAGAAATCTCCATTTTACTATAGTCACCCTTCTGTGTGTGTGTGTGTGTGTGTGCGTGCGGTGGGCTGAGTGGAAACACCTGGTCGTGCTGTGTTATGACTGCATGCTTGAGTGTTTGTGTGTCACGCTCACCTCTTCTTTCTCTCAGTCAGCTCCTTCCACTCTTCCTCTTTCTCACCTCCCTGTCCTTGCTTCCTTTCTCTCTCTCCTTCCCTCCCCCCTCCTCCTCTCTCTCTCTCTCTGTCTGTCTCTGTTTTGGTACTATTCTTTGTTTTTTGTGTGGTGGTCACTGCTCAGTGTTATGTGCAGAATGATTTTTTTCTGTCCATCCTTGCATCCTGCCATACCTGTGAGCAAATAGTTCAGCATTAAGTATCTATCACTGCCACCTCTGAACTTTGCAAAACTGCCACCTTAAGACTGGTACAAGGAGAGACGCTTTCTCTCTCCAGTAAACCTTTTGCTTCAGGGTATACTCTTGGGGTTTTTTCCAGGTATATTATGTATGAACTTTGTACTATGTATAGCCAGAGTTTTATTTATTTTTTAAAAAAAGAAACCTTTTCTTGATAAAGGAAAAATGGTAGCCTAGGTAAGTTCTTCTTGTAAAAAGTGATGCTTCTTGGGGGAAAAAGAAACAGTCCTGTACTCTAACTTTTAGTAAAAGGATCAGATGTTTTCTTACCTTAAAAACTGATTGCTAAGGTGAATTCAGTGCATAAGTATGGAGTTAAGTGCCTTTTGGAGGATTTCTTGGAAGAGCATTTAAGGAGATACTTAAAGGAGGTTGCAAAGATTTGAACAGTCTGTCTTTTTCAGTAAGGGCAGAAAGAAAGGTTGTCCAGGTTATACTGGACACTTCCCTCCCCCACCCTTTTCTTATTCTTTTACATGATTGGTTTTAAATTCTCACACTGCCACTTTTTGTTTTTTAATACCCTATACTTACCAGTTGTCATACTGAGCTATTGTCAGAAAACTTCTTTTTACATGAGCAGATTCAAAATAAGGTCTTTGGGCTGGGGATATAACTCAGTGCAAAGCCCTAGGTTGAATCCTCAGTACTGAAAAAAAAAAAAAACCAAAATGGAGTCTTTGAAGTGTAAAACATTTCAGGGGTCAGTACAAGCTATCGAAGTGTGGGTATGGGTCTTAGTGGGAGAAGTGATGTCACTGTACCCTCTTCCTGTTCCACCCACCCTAGTCTGTACACTTCCTGCTCTCAGTGGCAATGTATTGAAAACAAGAGATGCTCAGAGGCAGGGTGCCTTCAGCCAGAGTTGGATGTGCTCTGTTTTCTCCAGTCAATAGGCCTATGGATTTGCTTCTCCAAGAAAGTGAATACATTTGCATTGTTAGCTGTACTCTCAGGTCCTTAAAGGGAGGTTTCAGAAATAAATTAGGGATGTATAGTCTGTGCCATGAAATAGGACAGGAACAGCTATCCCGGAGTCATAAAGTGTTTAGAGTTAAAGGTGATGAGCGCAGATGACATTGTACATCAGTCTATGAAAACAGTAGCAGTAAATGTAACTTGTCAGAAGCAAATGTTGTATGATTTAGGATAACATTTGCATTAAGTAGAACCACACAATATAACAAGACAAAGATGTGGAAGTGGATGGCTTCCTTCTGATGAGAGATACCATGGACCATGTTTATATATCACCCTAGTAGGGGATATAATTTTTCCTTCTAAGCAAGGAAAACTGCAGTGCTAAATAGTTTCTAACTTTCTTTTTCTTTTTTTTTTTTTTTTTTTTAGACAGGTCTTGCTGTGTAGTTCTGGCTGGCCTTGAACTCACTATTAGCCCAGGCTGGCCTACAACTTGCAGCGATCCTGCCTCAGCCTCCCAAGTGCTGGGATTACAGGCGTGTTATCACGCCTGGCCAGTTCTGTAAATTTTTTTGAATGAGAAACTTTTGGGTAAAGATATTTTTCAGATGCATTTGCATTGGGAAAAGATCATGGAAAAAATGACAGTCATAATTTTTTTTAAATTTAAAAGACTGAGAAATTCTGCTGTATGAAGTATGACAATACAAAAAACACATTTAGTTTTATACTAAATCTTTTTTTAAAGTCTTGGCATTTAATATAAAGCAAACCCACACATTTTCTAACTTTCTGTAAGTTCCTAAAAGGAAAAAAAGAAACCTCGGTCTTAAAATTTGGTTTTTAAAAATCATGATAGTTTACCATAAAGCTGAGTAGCTAACTTTTGGTAACACCTTTTGTTTCTTTGTATATTTATAATAATGGACATTTTAAAACACAGGAATGTTTTGGTTTGTACAGACTTTGACAAATGTGTGTTAATAAAATTCATATTGATAAGTGTAATTTCTGCTTCTTGTCTTCTTTTTTTCCTTCCTTTCTTTCCTCTCTGCCTCACTCCCTTCTTCCCTTCCTTCCTTGGAATTTTGGAATTGAATCCAGGCTTTTTGTACTGAACTATTTTCCCAGGCTTTATTTAAAAAACAAAAAAAATTGAGGCTGGGTCTCTCTTAAATTGCCGGGCTGTGCCTCAGCCTTGGCCTGCTGGGATTACAGACCTATGCCAGTCCCTCCCTCTGTCTTCCTGGGAAGTCAAGTCCAAGGCTGTACGCATCCTAGACAAGTGCTCTACCGCTGAGCTCCCCTACCTTTTGCTTTATTTTGAGATAGGATTCTACTACATTGCGTAGATGGTACTCAAACTTTTGATCCTTGTACCTCAGCTCCCAAGCTGGACGTTTTTTTTTGCTGGTTCACCAATAGACATAGCCAGTATGTCCTTTCACCCTGGAGACAATATTTTTCTTAGACTAACAAGTTTCATATCTATCAGATGATAAATTCATTCCCTTTGATTTTGTTTACCCAACTCCAGTACTTCATGTATGCCAGGCAGAAGGGTTACAGCAGTGACAAAAACCCACAACTGAGTGTGGAGGTCCAAGCCCGTAATCCCAGCACAAGGAAGGGTGAGGCAGGAGAATCAGTGAGTTCAAGGTCAATCTGAACTACATAGTGAGACCCTGTCTCAAGGAAACCTCACACTCAAAACCAGAAAAACCCCAGCAGTTATCATCTTTGTGGGGCTTCCATCAAGTGGAATTTGGACAACATCATACCAGTTTTTCCTTGTCTTTTATGTTTACCATTGTCATCCAAAATACAGTGGAGTACAGAATAAATCTTCATAAGGAGTGAGTAAAAGCATTTTGAATTGCCAGCTCAAAAGGAAGAAACAAATGTACTAATTAGATTGAAATCTTAGCACTAGTACATTTTTATATTAGAAACAGGTGCCTTTTGCCAGGTGAAAGCCTATAATCTTGGCACTTGGGAAGCTGAAGCAGGAGCATGATTATAAGTTCAAGGCCAGCCTGACTACATAGCAAGACCCTGTCTCAGAAACAAAAAGGTGCCTTTCAGATAACTGTCATTGTCACATTTTGGTCATCCTAACCTATAAAATGTTATTTGCTCTAAATAAAGTTACTTTACAGATTGTTTATAACTATTGTGTGAATTTTTTTTCTTTTTTAATTAGATTTTATTGGTACATTTAAAAAATGCATGACCATATTCATCACAGACAATGTGTACCTATACATGATATAACATTTCTTTTTTTCTGTTCCCCCATCCTCCAACCCTTCATGCCTTCATTTACAAACTCTTGTTTCCATTTTTTACTTCTTTTGTCATTTTTTTCCCACTTTTCCTTCTTCCTTTTCCTCCTCCCCCTTCCTTGTTCCCCTCCCCATTTGGACATTTCTTTCTATTTCTGTGTGAAATAATGTATCCATTTGCTCAGGCTTAAAAAACACATGGCAGGGGCTGGAGTTTTAGCTCAGTGGCGCAAGTGTCTGCTTGGCAAACGCAAAGCCATGAGTTTGATCCCCAGTTAAAAAAAAAACAAAAACAAAACATGGCAGCCCAGAATATACCTGGCAAATGTCATGGGTTTGATTGCTGGCACCAAAAAACACATAGCAAGTTCCTGTAATCCCAGCAGTTGGGAGGCTGAGGTAGGAAGATCACTATAAATTGAAGCCACTCTCTGTGTAGATCCTATCTCAAACAAAAAGAGGTGGGAATGTTATTCAGTGTAAAGCTTGGGTTCTATCTCTAGTACTACCAAAAAAATCATTTTAATATGTCTGTCGGCTCTTCTGTCCAAGAATTTAGATGGGGTGCTGTGGAGACATTTGAATCTTCTCAGAAAGATTCTAAGGCCCAAGGGCACTCTTTAAGGCTAGAATCCTCCTTCCAGAGGCTCAGTGTCCTGTACTGTAGCACCTGGGCTACAGTGAATGGAGGCCTGGTAGCGCTGATGAGGGAACTGATGTGACCCCTCCATGGGTTCTGCCTGCCCAGCGCGGTGGCCCCAAGGTCATGAACTGCCTTCTGTGGCTTTCAAAACTCCAAGCACACATCCGCCCTATTCAGAGCAGTTAGAAGCCCACACAAATCTGGGGCTGGGGATTTAGCTCATGTTGCAAGCAGGCAGTCATGAGTTCGATCCCCGGAACCCATAAAAAACAAAAAGACAAAAAAAAAAAAAAAAAAAAAAAAAGAAGCCCACACAAATCTAAGGAAAGAACAAACAGATCCTTTCCCTTGATGGGAAAGCAGAAAAGCATTAGGACAGGAGCTACTGTGGTGACCATTTTATACAATCTGTCACACAGGGAGTCGATTCTGAAATTAAATCAGAGCTGAGAAAGACAAGCTATAACTCCTTTTTATTTTGGCAATCCTGGGTATTGAATCCAGTGCTTTTGCATTCAACTACATTCCAATTCCCTACCTTTTTTTAGATAGGTTTTTGCTAAATTGCTGTATTGCTGGGGCTGGAGGTTTAGCTCAGCGGCATAAGCACCTGCCTTTCAAGCAGGCAGTCGTGAGTTCGATCCCCGGTACTGATAAAAAGGAAAAAGACAAAAAAAAAAAAAAAAAAAAAAATGCTGTATTGCCCAGATTAAAGTCAAACTTGTGATCCTCTTGCCTCAGCCTCCCAGAGTGCTAGAGTTACAGGTATGCGCCACCGTGCCTTCGTGAACAGATCACTGAGTTTTGGTGAATGTATGCTGTTGTGTAATCACCACCAGCAAAATATAAAATATGCCATCATGTCCAAAACTTCCCTGTGTCCTTTGGTAATCCTCTTCCCTTCGTCCACCCCTGGCAAACATCAATCTGACTTTTATTCCTAAAGCTTTGCCTTTAACAGACTCATAAATGGTATGTGGCCTTTTGTGCCACCATCTCATGTGGCATGTATTTCTGAGATTCAGTCATGTTATTGCATGTCTCTATTTTATCCCATGTTTTAGTAGGTTTTGTTTTCCTTTTTTTGTGGTACTCCAAGGCCTTCACATGGAGCTACATCCCCATCCCTTATTTTTTGTTTTGAAACAGAGTTTCACTAGGTTGCTAAGTTGCCAGACTGAGCTCAAACCATCCCCCCCCCCCCCACTGGGGATCAAACTCAGGACCTTGTGCTTGCCAGGCAGGCGCTTATGCCCCTGAGCTAAATCCCCTGCTACCTGAGCTCAAATTTTTGATCTTCCTGCCTCAGCCTCCAAGAGTGTTAGGATGACAGGCATGTCATGTGCCACAACCCCCAGTTTAGTGGTTTCTTTTCATAGCTGATAGTTTTCCATAGTGTGTATGTACTTTTCTTTTTTTTTTTTTTTTTTTTTTTTGGTCTTTTTCCTTTCTATCGGTACCAGGGATTGAACTCACGACTGCCTGCTTGCAAGGCAGGCGCTTATGCCGCTGAGCTATATCCCCAGCCCCAGTGTGTATGTACTGACAACTTGTTTATCTACTCAGGAGCAGCAGCTGATAGGACATAACTGTTTCTCTCTCTCTCTCTGCATCAGCTGTTCCTATTTTTTTTTTTTTTTTTTGGTTATTATGAACAAAGCTGCCTTAAGCATTTACATGCAGGTCTTTCTGTCGATACATCTTTTTATTCTTCTCGTGTAACACCTAGGGTTGGGATTGCTGGGCTGCATGGAACATTTGTGTTTAGTTTTATGAGTTTGTCACACTTGTGTCCAAAGTGATGGTTTCTGTGCCATAGTGTTGATGGAGACTTACTTGTAACTTAATTTCTCCACCGACCTACTTCCCTTCTCAAAAAGCTTACTGGTGAGAGTGATGCTTCAGCTTTAAAATAGTAGACTTGCTGCCAAGGCACATCATACAGAAGAAGCCACACATCACAAGTAAACACCTTGATGAGTTTACACAAAGCAAACACTCCAATGGAAACACACCCAGAAATAGAATTTTGTAGACTCATCTCATATGCCCATTCCTACGCACTCCCTATCTCCTCAGAACTATTATCTGACTTTTAATCACATGCAATAAGAATATATTTAAATTATACTACACTTATGAGATTTTTCCCATCAATAAGAAAGACCAAATAACTTATATACACTATGAATAAACTTCAGAAATATTCATTGAAACCAGACGGGGCTGGGGATTTAACTCAGCGGCATAAGCGCCTGCCTTGCAAGCAGGCAGTCGCGAGTTCGATCCCTGGTACCGATAGAAAGGAAAAAGAAAAAAAAAAAAAAATGACATATACTAAATATATAAAACATGGAGTCTAAGAACAGGAAAAAGTAATCTGCAGTGATAAAAATCAGAAAGCAGTATCTGGGTGTGAGGGTAATTAATTGGAAAGGAGAATAATTTGAGAAAAAATTCTGGGATGATTATGAAAATCTCTATCTTGGTTTCACTGGTATTGAACATGAGTGCATGTTTCAAAATTCACTGGACTGAACATTTGATATTTTGTGCAATCTGTTATATATCAGTTATAATTCAGAAAAATTAAGTACTGAAAAATGCTGTTCAGTCCTAAAAAAGTCGGCTGTGAACACGGCTTTTGGAACACATATGTATGCAAATCAATTGAGTATATACTTAGGAGAAGAATTGTTGGGTTGTAGGATACATATGAAGCTGGACTCTGCCATTTACTGGTTCATGTATTGGCCAAGCACCTAGATACCTCTAGACTCCAGAATACTGCTTCCTTATCTGTATCAGGGCACTAATATCACCTTGATGGGGTAAATGTAAAAAGACTTTTTGTAATTAGAAAAAAAAAAACTGGAGAGATCTTAATCGCTACAGTCTGAGATTTTCAGAAAATGTGCTGTTTGAACTGTCAGTAAGAACAGAATATTCCATTCCTCCCTACAAGATCTGAGTTACTTTGACACAGAGAAGCAGCCTCAATTTCTGACCCAGGTGTAGAGCTTCAGATAAGCGGCTTCCAAATACAATATTCCACATTTATCTTCACTTGTAGTTTCCAA